TTTTTTTTTTTTTAATTTTTTTGCTATCTATCTCCAAATTGATGTACAACTCCTCTTCCTTTTTATTATTATTTTATTATTTTTTTTTATTTCGGCATATTATGGGGGTACAGATTTTAAGGTTTCAATAAATGCCCATTTCCCCCCCACAGTCTGAGTCTCCATCATGACCATCCCCAGATGGTGCACATCTCACTCATTATGTATGTATATACCCGCCCCCTCCCCCTCCCACCTGCCAATACCCTATATACTGTGGAAGAGTGAGACACTGATCCGTCGACCTAACTATAGTGTAGTTCTTTTGACTGTCCTCAGAGATAATGTGAGAGGAATGTGAGCGTAATGGTGAGAGAGGCTGTGGTAGTATGTTCGTTAGTGAGTATTATACCTGCTATTGTTTTGTTGGATTGTTCCTCGCAATAGATGCTCCTTAATTATTAAGTAATGGGGCTTCACTGACGTTGTTTGATGGGAACTGTCAAGGAGAAGGATACATTTAAGATGTTGGATGAATTCGAGCCATCCTCGTTGCTTAGAGCCCAGACTGCAATGGTTAAGACTAGCCCATCGGCACAGCCTGGAACCACAGGTAGTTTAGGATGACACGAAGCTTATTATTTAGATATTTGAGGTTAAATTAAGGTACGCAGTATCCTGGATAACTGGAATGGAAGAGCGACACATATGGAGCTGATGTTGCCTCAAACTTGCCCTTAAACTGATCTATTGAGATTGTAAAGACTGATAGATTTGCTATGTTGTGTAATACCTCAAGAAGTTGTCGGTGTCTCTTTTTTGTAGAATGTGTGTTATCTGTCAGCCTCCAGTTCTCCTCCGCAGCCTCCTCCCGTGGAGTCTCCCGGGGTCTCAGGTACCCCTCCTTCTGGCCCTCGTCCGCTGTATGCTCGTCTTCTTGCTTCTTTTTTCTAATTTCTGCTAGACTCTGTCTTTTCTGCAGAGACACTCTGTCTGGCAGTGTTTCTCATCCGCCATCTTGCTCCACCCTCCCTCCTCTTCCTTTTTTTTCTATATTTGAAAATTAATATTTTTTAGGTTGAAGAATGAGACATATTCAATGTTTCTTAAATGAAAATCAGTTCCTCATTTTTTTCTTTTCACAATGGAAATACCTTTAATCCTTTTGCTGTTTATAAAATAGTACAACATTGTAAAAAAAAATGTAATAATGACTCGTAGAAAGTAGAAAGTGACATTCCATTATCCTGGACTCTCTAAAATATCACTTTTATCATTTTTGTGTATATTCCTCCATATTTTTAATGTATGTAATCATATTTTTAAATAAATAGGAGATACCATTTAAACCTTTAAAGAGTTATAACAAAATTATGTATTTTTCATGTTAATAGATATAAATTTATCTCATGTATATTGCTATATTTTCATGTGGGAAAATTAGTTTAACCAATCTCTAATAATCTCTAAACATTTTTTTGTTTCTCTTATCTTAATATTATAAACAATGTTGCAGTAAACCTTAATACATGGTGTTATATATACTTGTCTCATTATCTCCCTATAATGTATTTTTAAAATGAAATGATTACATTTAAAAATGAATATCCCAAACGTTTATATGTATTTTCTTGATGTCTTCAAAATGTTTGTACCAATTTTTATTCTTACCAAATAAGCATGTTTACCCAGGACAGACACTAATACAGGGCAAACAAAAAGCTGTGAAAATATTTTATTTTATTTTTATTTATTTCAAAATATTAAGGGTGTACAGTGTTTTTGTTACATAGATACCTTACATGATGCTTATGTTGAGAATTGTGGTATGTCTGACACCGAAATAGTGTTCATTGTACTCAATAGGTAACTTTTTATCCCACGCTCTCCTCCCTCCTTCTTGATTTTCAATGTCTTTTATATTGCTTAGTGCTCATGTGTAGCCATTGTCTAGCTCCCACTGATCAGTGAGAGTATATGGTATTTGGTTTAGAAAGTCTAAGACCAAGATTCTGGTAGGGTTTGGTTTCTGGTGTGGGCTCTCTTCCTGGTTTGCTGATGGCCACTTTCTCACTATGTCCTCACATGGTGGGGGTGTGGTGGGGGAGAGAGACAGAGAGAGAAGAAATGTCATTTATAAGGGCACTAATCCCATCATGAGAGCCCCCCCCCCATCACTTCATCCAAACTTAATCACATCCCAAGGGACCCATCTCTCAATACCATCACAACCGGGGTTAGAGCTTAGGGGCACCAACATATAAATTCTGAATAGACAGTAGGAATATAACAATTTTTTTCCAAATGGATAGATACTAGACCAAATATCACCTATAAATAATTCAGCATTTCTGAACACTTTTGAGATACCAGCTTAGCCATAAATTTCAATGTAGACATCTATCTGTTTTTTATCTCTCATTTCTGTTGCATTTCTCTGTTTATCCATTCCTATATTCAATGCTGTTTTTACTTAATATGAACTTAGGGTATATTTATTTAGGCTTTTTATTTTTTCTAAAATGTATAGCCAGTATCATATAGTTATACTTCCAGATGAATACAAAATCAAGTTACAAAACATACATTGAAATTTGAACTGAAAATGCTTTAAATTTATAGATGCATTTGGAGCAATTTGACATCTATACAACACTGAGATTTCCCATCCACAAACATTCTATATGTCTTAATTTATATGTCATCTTCCGAATACTTCATGAACTTTCTATAGTTTTCATTAAATTATTCTTATGGCTCTTGTTGACACCACAGATACGTTACAGTTTTGTTGTTACTATAAATACAATGTTTACATTTTCTAATCCTTATATTTGTATTGATATAGATTTAGTTGTGGAGAAAAAAGGCTAAAATTAAAATAGAACAATAAAAATGTAATTTCATGTGCAATTTCATGGCTGGAAGAACACTGGACTGGGATGTGGGATTCTATTCCCATTCTACCATGAACTTGTTATGTACTTATACCATGTAGCTTGTTATTTAGTTTCACTGATTCTCAATTTTTGTTTGTATGACTCAAACTGTAAAATAAAGCCCAACCATAGAGATTTCTATACTGTATTAAGTGAGTTGCATTATTTTGTTTGATTTACTAATCTATTGTAGGCTTGGCCTCCAGGATATGTAGTATTTGCAGACTACACCAACCCTCGCACTGTACGGTGGTGGATGCAGATGTGTGGGGAATTTAAGGACATCCTTGATTATGATGGAATCTGTATCGTAAGTCTAAACTTATTATTTAAAAAAAATTATCTCTGGTGAAAGAGTGAAATGTTCAGTCACTTATTTTTTTTCAGCTAGCAAGCCTTGGAAGGTGAAAATCCCCTTCTTTATTTCCTTATACTCACATCTAATGCAGCATTAGAGGGGAGAAATATTTTCTCCAAGACTGGCAGCTGGATCATTGCTTCATCCAACTCTGGGGCTTATTTATGCTTTCATTATTGTTTATGCCTACTATATTCAGGGCAGTTGGGAGGCAAAAGTTGGGGAGATAGGTGACAAACAAGCTATTGTGTGACCATGACAGAGTGAGCACCAAATGTAATGGGAACACAGATGAAGGGCATTGACCTCTGGCGAATTGAAGTCACCTCTGGGGAAGTCCAGGAAAGCTTACCAATAGAGGTGATGGTTAAAGGTGTGGGTTAATAGAGGACTGACCAGGTGAATAGAGTTAGTAAAGTTACAGCAGGTTGTGGGTGTGAATGGGCTTCAGGTAATGGGAATAGCATATTCAAGAGTGCAGAGGTGAGAGATCCTAGGAAGGTGTTGATGGAGTACGACTGGGACAATTGGCAGTTGCATGCCTAAGAGGCCTCAATCTGCCAGAGAGACACTTGCAAACAGAATCATGTGGCCAGAAGACAGAGTGAAAACTAGAAAACTCATGCTCTTCAAGAGAAAGGAATTTTTCTCTATATGTGGCATAATTTATTGTTTCTGTGCCTTTGCTCATGCTTTCCTTCCCATTTTCCCTCATTCCTACATGTTCAAATCCTATGAGCCCAACAATATGCAACCTCCATACCAATTTATCCATGGAGCCTTCCCTGGTACCCTTACTAAAAAGAATTCCTGTTTTCTGTTATTTCAACAAACATATATTTATCAAGCACTTACTCCGTACCAGGAGGCATTGGGGATTGATTCAGAAAAATTCTTGCCTTCATGGAGCTGACATTTTAGTGGGAGATATAGGCAATAAACAAGATAAATAAGTAAAACTTAGAATATGTTGGATAATAGTAACTGCCAAGGAGAAAAATTAATCTAAGAAGTAGAGTAGGAAGTTTGTGAACTTAATTAAGATTGGACTTTATATAGCATGGTCAGGGAAAGTGATAATTGATCATGTAAAGTCCAGAGGATGAGCTATGGGGGATATTTGAGGGAAAAGCATCCAGGCAAAGGAACAGCAAGTACAAAAGCCCCAAAGCAGAGCAGGCCTGACATTTTTCAGCAGCAGCAAGAAGGCCAGTATGGCTAGAACAGTGTAACCAGGAGGAACAATTGTAGAGGAAAAGGTCACAAGGGTATAGAGACAGTATCATAAAAGGCGTCATGGACCAATTATGAGGTCTTTGGCTTTTACTTTGAGTGAGTTGTCTCTGGTTTTACTCTATGTAAAACCACTGGAGGGTTTTAAGCAGAAGTTTTTAAAAGGATTACTCTGGTTGCTATACTGAGAGTAGACTATAGGAAGGCAAAAAACTGTGAAAACAGAGGTGTTGAATCTAGGTTTTATGAAGCTTTATACAATTTGAGTAACTCTATTTAGAAAATATTTAAAAATTACAAATAGAGAATTAGGTTTAAAGTATGGAAGGGGTCATGCAAAAATGTTACCAGGCAACTTAAGTTTCATTAGCTTTCACATCAATCCACTTGGGCTCCTGTTGAAAAGAGAGACCGGTTAAGAATCTATGGCGACATTCTAGGCAAGAGACAACTGTAGTGTGTAGCTTGAGATAGTAGCAATGGAGTGAATGAGGTGTGGTCACATTCTGCATATATTTTCAAGATAAAATTAACAGGATTGGCCAACAAATTAGATGTGAACATCAAGAAAAAGAAATTAAGAATGATCTATGTTCATAGCCATTGGAAGATTAGAATTGCCATTCACAGAACAGAAATGGGTGGTATATCTATTCCTGCGTGGTGACATTTATAGATTTGTGAAACCATTGCTCATTTGCCAGTCTATGCTATTTGAGACCAGGGACACTATCTTGTTTATTTCTATGCCTCGTAGAGCTCCTAGCTTACCATCCCACACATTTACATACTTAAAATATGTCTGTGGAGTGAATGATCTTTATGTGCTCTGTTCCCTCAATGGGAAGTAAGAAATCTATGCTCATTATTACTCAATAAGTTCTTGTCTTTATATAAGGATATGAATGAACCAACCAATTTTGGGACAGGCCAGTATCCAGGATGTGAAAAGAATAGTCTAAACAATCCACCCTATGTACCTGGTAAGTAGACTGAAAACACTAAATGATTTTGAAACATTTTTACATCTTATACAGAAAAGTCTCTTTAGTGTTATTGGTTTGTCTTAGGAAAGTATGAACTCACCAATCTAGGAATAATAAGCTCTTAGATCACCAATCTAAGTAAGAATAATACGGAAATCTCAAAACTCGTATGTGTGCCTACTGTACTTCTTGGTAGGAAGGCCTTGGAATGATTGAGAATTGTGTTCTCACTTATCTAGGAAGGAACTAGAGATGCCTTTCTTTGGCTCTCCCAACAAAGAGGCAGGGTATGGTATTGCTGCTGAATCTCAGGTGACTGAATTCTTCTCTTTGGCTACAAGGTCTGATCAACTTATAATTCCCAATATTTTTTTTTTTTTTTTTTGCTATTTTTGTAACTGAAGTTCAATAGAAAATGTTACATGATGGAAAAGTTGTGAAGTAGAGTTTAATTGAGAAATAGAGTTTTGCAGTCAGAGAGGCTTAACCTTGACTGCAGACTTCTAGTTTGAGTGATTATAGCTTTTTATTTATACTTCCTTTGCAATTACAGCCATTTTCATGTGCAGTGATTCAGTTCCCAGTGAAACCATGACAAAAGAGAAAAGCAAACGAATAAAATCTAGTTTAGAGAACTGATAAACCATAAAGTTTCACTCACCTTCCTCAAATCCTGTAAACACTGACCTGCCTCTACATTTTACTTGTTAGGCAAAAGAAATGCTGTGCAAATATTATTCTCTTTTATTGTTTTATGAAATATCTAAATGAAAATATCAAGCAGGCAGTGAGATGCGTAAGTCTGGAGAGAAGCCATCTGGGCTTGAGATAAAAAAACTGGGAATTATATGCATTGAAAATGGGATGGATGTGTCAATGCACTGAGAATGAGAGAGAGTAAAAAATGAAATAGACAAATGGGCCTCCCAACCCTGAGCCTGAGTGACCCTGCACCCCAACCCTTAGGCTTCGTACAGAAGAAAAGATAGAGTCAAGAAAACCAAATGGAAGTGATTGGATAAAGAGGAAGAAAGGCAGGAATGAGTGATTTCTTATGAATCAGCTGAGAAAACTGCATAGTCATTGCTATCAGATGCTGCCAAAAAGTCAAATACAATGAGTGCAGAATGTGTCCAGACCATCAGTGGTGGTTCGGGCGATGAGCAGCAGGAGGTAGGGGTCCACAGAAGAATGTGACCAGAGCTGAGCAACACAGAGATGAGCACTATTAGTTTCAGTGGAGTAGAGGGTATGGATATCAGACTAAAATCAATTAGAGAGTGAAAGGGAGGTGAAGAAATCTTAGAGGAGTAAACAGAGCTTGAGTAGGTAGTTTTGTTCTGAAGAGGGGTAGAGAAATGGGGTTGTAGCTGAGAAGAATGTGAGTAAAGAAGGTATTGCTGGCTGGGTGCTGTGACTCACGCCTATAATCCTAGCACTTTGGGAAGCTGAGGCGGGAGGCTGAGGTGGGAAGATTGCTCAAGGTCAGGAGTTCGAAACCAGCCTGAGCAAGAGCGAGACCCCGTCTGTACTAAAAATAGAAATTAATTGGCCAACTAAAAATATATAGAAAAAATTAGCCGGGCATGGTGGCGCATGCCTGTAGTCCCAGCTACTCGGGAGGCTGAGGCAGAAAGATTGCTTGAGCAACCCAGGAGTTTGAGGTTGCTGTGAGCTAGGCTGACATCACGGCACTCTGGCCCGGGCAACAGAGTGAGACTCTGTCTCAAAAAAATATGTATTGATTTATTGTCTTGGTTTTTAAGAAATGGGAGATACTAGATTATGTTTATTTGCTGTTAGGAACGAGCTAATGGACTTGATGAGGTGGCAACACAAAAGAAAAAGGAGTTAATCCAAAGATGAAAGCTACTGTAAAGATAGCATAGGATAGCACCAATTGTAAATAGAGTTTTAACAGAGCAGGACCACGTTCTTATTTTTGCTGGAGAAAGAAGGAGAAACTGCATGTGCATAAATGTAAGGGTTAGGTGGTAGGAGAATGAAGATCTTCCTGTTAGAAAAACTTTGATTTTAAAGACTTGGTCATTAGTGGGAGTGACATGGGGAGTGTGATGGAACTTGGGGAGTAAGAAGCCCGAAGAGTAAGGAGACTGTGAAGGCCATATGCCATATCAGAGAGGCAGAGTGAATTTATGAAAGAAGCATAGTGGGGTTTTCAGGCAGTCTTGAGAATGCGTTTGAGTTTTGCATTCTTGAAGCAGAGGATGAGGAAGAAGAGAATGGAGGAAGCTTGGGTTTTTAGAAATGAAAATGTCATACTGCTCTTTGAACTATATTTGATTAAAATGTCAGGGAGTACATGAAATCATAGATGATGACTTCAGCAATGAGGCACCTGTGTGCTAGGGTACAAAGTGGTATGGAAGCACTTACCCAGAGAAAGGCCGCTTTCATGACACAAGGAGCATGACAACATGACACAGGGAACAAGTGTGGGCGTTTGTGTCACTTTGGCTCCAAATCCCAGCTCAGGCACTTTTCTAGGCTTGTGAACTTAGACAAGGTCTTTACCTTCTTTCGACTGTGGAATGAGGATCTGAATACTATTTGCAAGTTGAGGATTTAAAACATGATATGTAAAGCAGGTGAGTGGCATACAGTAGGTATACAATAATAGCTACCATTGTGTCTATTGCAAATGATTTAGGAGAATTTAAACGTAACTTCGAATGCTTTGTCAAACTCTGCAAATAAGCAACAAATATAGCTGACAATTATTCTAACAATTTTCTATCATCTTCATTGCTCCAGGGGAATAAAGCCAGAACCGGCTGTCTAAAAGAGCCCTCATTTTTACCCTCCCTGGAATAATCCTTCCACAACTGATGGCCTCATGCTTAGCTATCTTATTCCTGGTTTATATTCTTTTAAAGGACCAATCTATAACTATGTGGAACTTGAAAAACGGGAAAGAGTATGAATTTGAGAAGAAAGAGACTGTTAATACCAAGTGGGGACATGAAAGAAAGAAACAAGTCCAGTTTAGCTCTCAGATGCATTCTCTCTAAAACAGATTATTGTAAAAAGTATTGAAGAAATCTGCTTGCAGTCCCAGGCGAGCGTTACCAAGATACTGAGCCTAACTGCTGTAAAGACCTGATGCAGTTATCTGATGAATATTTTTATTCCCTGTGCTATTTTTAACCAATATTAAATTTCTTTTTATCTCTTTTACAATTCAACAATCTAAGGTGTTTTTTTTTTTTTTGTTTTTTTTTTTTTTTTTTACCATTTTGTGTAATCTCTTTGATTGGTAACTGTTTCTGATTGTATAAAGTTAAGCTTTTCAGATAATTAGGTGTTATATTCTGGTTAAAGTACAGGAGTTCTATAATTACCCACCACGCTTCTGTGGGTAATTATCTACATTTGTAACATCTTTTTCTTTGTGGCTGAGCAGGTTGTCTATTACGATATAGTTACTGCTTAAAATGTTCTCTCAGGAGTGAAAGAATATGATGAGGTAGCTGCCTTCACCTGCAGGGGGATAAGAAGATTTTTACACAATGTCTACGTTCCTGTCATTGTTTTATGTACACTATGAATGGCTTTAACATGAGCTGAACTATGTGGTTAAATTTAAGCCATAACTGATAGCCGAATTAAGGTGATTCAGCTGTGCTTTATGTATCAAAAAATCATTAAGAGTTGCATTAGACTTATTCTCAAGTATGTAGATTGGAAATTAAATGTCAAGAGGTTCCACATTTCTTTAGAAATATGTTCTCTTCAAAATAATAACAGGTTGGGAGAAAAGTTTATGGTAGAAACAGTAATCTTTTTAAATGGATAAGATTCTCCCTCCCCATTTCTTTCAAAAGGAACCAAAGGCTTTTAGTATTATGATCTTATGTATCTTCAAAATGTATAACAAAGACAACTTAAAATATTAATATCTCCATTTTGTATATCTAAAAAGAGAGGCAAACATTTCAAGGCAGCAGAACCCAGACTAGAATTAGATTTCTTTGCCTATTAGACTCCTTCAATCCTTGCTGCTATTCCCAAACAAAATGCATTTTAAAAAGTCATAAAAGCTGAAATTAATGATTCTGGGAAAAAGCCAAGAAGTTTCAGAAAAATAAGAGTAGAACCACTCCCAGGGTGGATATGTACAAAGGAACCCATCAAAACTGGTGTGTAAAGAGCTATCTGCAAGTAGAGCCTTTATGATACGCACTGGATACATTTTCGAGAGATGTGATTTAACTTTGAGAATCTCTGAATCTATGTACAAAAGGGATATGTAGATGAGAGACTTTAGGAATTCTGACACTGTTTGAATATTAGGAACATGTATGTCCATGGCTCACGCATTCCCAGCAGTACCATTGCTGGGGGCCATATCATCTTTTTTCATTCCCACCTTGGCTAACTGTTTGGTTCAAGAGGTCCAGCTTTCGGCCTATTTGGCTTTCAACATGTCTTCCTCACTATGCTTAATCATTTCTAGCTTTTGATTTAAAGCAAGAGATGTGTGACTCTTCCTTTTACTTGAAAACTTAAAGGCCATTGTGGGATTATTATTGGCCTAATTTCAATATTATTGTGTCTTAGAGAATAAGGGGCCTGAGGAACGGGAGAGAGAAAAGGAATGGCCAGTTGGTGGAGCAGTCCAAATACACACAACATGTATGCTTTGATATATCTATACATTGTAGAATAACTAAATCAAACTGATATATCTATTACCTCACATACTTTTTTTTATAGTGGAAACATTTACAATCTACTTTTAGTAGTTTTCAAGTATACATTTTTATTAACTATAATCACCATGTTCTACTATAGATCTCCTGAATTTGTTCCTCCCGTCTAACTGAAATTTTGTATCCTTTCACCAACATCTCCCTAATTCTCCACCAGCCCCAGGTAACCACCATTCTATGCTCTGCTTCCATGAGTTGGACTTTTTAAGATTCCACTTATAAGTGAGATTATGCAGAATTTGTCCTCCTGTGCCTGGCTAATTT